CAATAGGCTACAAGTGAGCTAAAAATAAACTTTGAGTAGTTCATATTAACTGGGTAATAACAGGCAACAGCAAAAAGCAGTATCCAGCGATGATGAAAACAGGAAGTACATTACACAAGCTGCCCTTTCCAGATAGGTATGAATTCTTAAAGGCTTAACTAAAATAATAAGCCCTAAAAGTTTTTAATAAAAGCAGAGAGCTGCCTATTGTTCATAACTCAGTGGAGACGAAAAACATGCACCCCAGTACATTGTGAAAGATCTGCTGTGTCTGGGAAACAACACTCTTTCCATTTAGTTGTTGGTAACCCTGATTTCAATTTTAAGTCACTATGGATTTGATCCTGCAAAGGGCTGAGCATCTGAGCCTTATCCAGCAAAGCTGCATAACGCTGTTAAGCCTGGGAGCATTGAGAGATGGAAAGGCAGAAGTTGCCTCTGATTGACTGGGGTGAGAAGTGAGTACTGAGCTCTTGTCATTGATGCTGAAGTTATCTGTGCTCCAGCATCTTCCAGGAAACCATATTCCACCTCTGAAGCAGTAGCATCCTCTCCACCTTTTCTTGACAGGCAGAGGTGGCAACAGGCTCCTTTCCTTAGAAGTGATGAGTGAAGCACTACCTACATCTAGACCACTCCTAGAGAGGTTTTGGTACAGACATACTACTCATTTTATTTCTGTAGTCAAAGGCAGGCAAAAGAAAGAACCTGCCTGCTCCCATGCCAAGGTATATAGAGGAGATCTGCATTTTCTCAGCCCCTTTTTCTTGTGAGGTATTGAAAAGTAGTTGTATACACAACCAAATATCTGGTGCATATAGATTCCTGTTGTCTTCTGTTTAACACTGTTTTGAGTACCTGTAGGGTGTTTTGGATGCAGGACCATCTTATCCGCATTTTTGTGGGCTAACACTTTTTCTGGTGTGTTAATTACAGACTATTAAACATGCTGTGTTTCAGAAGTGCCCCTTGCTTGAGTCAGGACCCAGGCAGATGGCAGTGATAGAGGTTGTCGCCTGGCCAAGAAAGAGCATGCCTCAGCCTAGCTATGGCCTTTCTTCTGTCCTGTAGTGCTGGCTAATCCCTATAGCCCCTTTACCACTGCTGTCCCTGCACCACTGGGATGCCTCTGTGGGGAAGCTCTTACCCACCTTTCAGGACACCACCCTTCCACACTGTGGCTCTGTCTCAGTAATAGGCCTCTAATAGGAACCCATGTAATCCGTGGTAAACATGATACAACACAACTCTCTCTCACCCTGTGTGTTCAGGATTCATTTGCGTGACAAAAGACATATCACTGTGCATTTCTCTTGCCAAACAAAATCATGATAGACTTTTAGGTTTGCTCTGATTCGGGCATTTTTTATTTAATGCTGCCCATTCAACAACCTCTGTAATGAAGATGTTTGAAAGTCAGAATTGACTATTTCTACCTGGCAGAATAGAATGCAGCCATATTATTAAATAATGACAACATTAATTTACTGTTATCAAATTCTTCATAGAAGCTAAACACATTACACAGTGTATGTAGACAATACTGCTATAAACCCAGATCTGTGGACGAACTATTGCCATTATGATCTTATTCTTATTGCACAACTTTGGTACTTTGAAAAAGCTGGTACTTTGTGTATTCATTAAATGACTGTATGGTCTGCAAATGTTCCTTATCATGTTTCAGAAATACATAGACAAAATTATTTTTATGATATACAACAGGAGAAAGCTTCTTTGTAAACTGTGGGTGAGGTTCCTGTGGAATCTCCTCAGGTTTAAATATTGGAAGTCGCATCATTGCCTACTTAATTTGTTTGTGTTTAGTTCATGGATTACAATAAGTGCTTCCATTTTTAAGCATGTCTTGCTACAACATATTTCTTTTTGCTGCTTATAGTGGTATGGCTCTGGCTAGATGCCAAGTGCCCAGCAAAGTTGCTCTGTTACTCCCCCTGATGTGTCATGAAGGTGAAGAAGGAGGAGACAAAGGTGACACAATCAGCATGACAGTGCAGTGGCAGATCTGAACCTCTGGCCGAGATCTTGCTGTTCCCATCTGCAGTAGGGGAAAGAGGCTGTTGGATTTCCTGCCCCAGGATTTCTATTTCGTTTTTTATGTTCTGTATTTGTAGTCCATTCTTCAGTTAGCTGTCAATCAGGTGAGCACATTATTACTGGCTGCTCTGTTGATAGGATGATGTGGCTAGTAGATTGGAATTAGAGAGTAAGGAAGCCAAGCAGCTGAGATCACTTGCTAGGCAAGGGGGCATTGGCAAGGCAATTTGAAAAGGGATGCAAGTCCTCAGCCTCTGGAGTCGACTTCTCTTAAGAGTGAAGAAAAATATCCCTTCAAGGAAGTTGTTATATGTCTCCCAGGAAAATGGACTACCATGGAGAGAGGTATGCAGTACGTGAGGGAATTAGCCATGCTAGAGATGATTTATTATGACCCGAACCATGCAAAATCACCCACAGATCCAGATGAAGTCCGGTTCACGTGTCCCATGTGGTGGAATCTGTGTGTATATAGCAAAAGACAGGAAAAGCTGATGGTGTGTTGGAAAGTGTAGGACCTGGGCATGATGTAAATGGCACAGAATAAGGGGTGGATACCGTCCTGGTTTCAGCTGGAATAGGGTTAGTTTTCTTCCTACTAGCTGGTATAGTGCTGTGTTTTGCATTTAGTATGAGAATAATGTTGATAACATGCTGATGCTTTAGTTGTTGCTAAGAAGTGTTTACCCTAAGTCAAGGACTTTTCAGTTTCCCGTGCTCTGCCAACAAGGAGGTGAACAAGAAGCCTGGAGGGAGCATGGCCAGGATAGTGCTATTTAGCTTTAAGTGTATAGGGATGCAGCTGCTGGAAGTTTCATTGAAGGAGCTTTTTAAAGTCCCAAGGAAGCTGGAGTGTGACAGGCAGAGGAACTTACTTTACTAGGTCTTTTTACCTTCTTTATACCCTCTTGTGAAAGACTCCCTTTTCAAATTGTGATGGGATTTTGAAGGCTTGGAGAGTTCTCCACTTCCCCGTCTACCCTTCAAAAAACCATAATTAAGCTGCAAAGGCTTAAGGCCTGACACTAAGATGGCACAGTCTCTGTGTTTTTGGCAGATAAACACGGAGAAATGCCAAATTATGAGAATTGTGGGTGAGGTCTTGTCTCTGAAGAGCTATTTCATTGCCTCCTGCTGACAGAATACTGAGGAGGGAGAGGCAAGGAAACCTTTCGGACTGAAGATACTTCCCCTTTGCAGAGTGCCTGTTGGAAGTGCTGCTGCAGTGGATTGTGGTAGAAGGGTCAAAAAATGCTCCACAGCTGCTGCTGGGAGGGAATGGGCAACAACAGTGACTAGAGAAAGGCAGGGGACAGGGAAAGAGCACATCTGGAAGGAGAGAGATGGAAATAAAGTTGTAACTGCAAATCACAGTGACAGAATTTTAACATGAAAGGGTGGAGGTGAGGGAGTACTTATTATTTTCCTAGATAACATTTGGAAGGATTGAAACAATCATTTATACAGTTTTCTATACATACACCCCTCACTATACTTTACAAAACCCCCAAAATTCTTAAAATAATGCAATCTGAAATATCAATAAAAATAAAAAAAAATTAATAAAATGATACCTTCCTTGAAAAATTGTCAACTTGATTTGAATTTTTTTCTGAAATTGCTGATCAAAAAACCTTGAATCATCTTCTTACTATATTCCCTGGTTTTGCCTACAGCAGTGCAGGATAATTCCCAAATTATCATCAATGCTAGTGTTTCCTAAATCTACTATTATGCTTATTAATTGAATTACAGAGACCAATTAAAATTTTCCCTACTACTGAATTTCAGTGTTCCTAACTTAATTTTTCCTTGATATTTGTGTAATAATCTCTTGTATTTCTCTAAATGATTCTGCTAATGAACCAGTGTAGAGTTTTCACATTTTAAATATTTGTTGTAGATGTAATTGTAACTTGATGTCATTTAGCTGGCACTATACGTGTATATCTCTTCATATTTCTTTTAGTTTAGTCTCCCCCTATTGTTTTTGTAGCTTTTCTTTGAACTTAATCCAATTTGTCTATGTTTTTGCTGGTAATTTAGTGCTGATAGCAGAAGAGCATTTACCTGTTATGTGAAGAATCATCTCCTTTTATTTCTTTGAATCTGTCTCTTACTAGCTTTTATTAGTGACCCCTACTTCTTTTGTTTGGAAAACCAGCAAGCACTTGATTTTTAGCCACCTTCCCACAGGTAGTGTGATCATTTTGCATTTTGTAACCCCTTTATGGTTCATTTATTTTTACTTCCAAAATTAATTACCTTGTTATTTTTGTGTAGGGAATAAGTTAGATTTGTTCCACTAGTTGTTTCTGGAGCAGTATAATTTTCTTTCTTCAGCAATAGAACTGTCTCTGTTTTTCTCTAAACTTCTAATTTTTTAGTTATAAATTCTTTGCCTAATAACTTTGGCAGTTGTTAATGCTTGTCCCTCATTTATGATATGCACAGGTTTGATCTGTTAAAATAATGATAGTGTGTCAAAGTGAAGATCTTAAAGGAAAAACAGAGTTATAGTTGCCTGGGCAATATTTTGAGACCTCCCTCACTTGTATGATGATTACACTCTTTTTTTTTCCTAAGGATTCTGTCTCACTAAATGCAAGAATGGATAACACCAAGCCCCCAAAATTTCCACATCTCTTCCTTATTCTTTGGCTGTATCATCCTTATTTTAAAGACAAGGAAAAATATCTGAGAAAGAACTTTTTATGAGATGACATAACAGACTTTTGCTGACAATTAGGACAATGTCTGTCTGTGAGGAAACTCCCAGCACTGCTCCGGTCTTCCGAGCTGGCCAGAAGCATGCCTAGGAATGCACACTTTGGAGTGACCGTGCTATAGAAGAGAACAGTCACATCGCATCCCTGAATGGTAGCACTTCAAGTAAGAAACACCAAAACTGAGGACTGCAAAATGTTTCTCTCTTGCAGGTGGGCAGGGAAATCTAGACATTTCTGTGAAATCTATGGAAGAGTCAGGAAAGGAAGTGAGTTCACCTGACTTGAATTTCTGCTTCCTAAACTGCACATCTGTTCTCACCCTGAAGTCCTTCTGCCACCCTACTGTAATGTGTGAAGCCATGTAGAAAATGAGGCAGAGACAGAATCAAGACTATTAATTGACCTGGTCTATGGGTAGATAACCTTCTTTCTGTGAGCTGTGTCAGACCAGGGGGATATCAGAAAAATAAGCATTTGAATGTGCAATTTAAACCAAATTGTTCTCCTTGTGGATGGTGAACGTTACTCTTGCTTAGACAGGAGTCCTAATTCTGGACATTTGAAGCTTTGAGCTCTAGATCCCAAAAATTATTTTTCAAATGTTAGTTTAGGGAAAGAAGGAAGGAAACAAGCAAAATGCATCAGTTCGTTAGAATACGGAAGTTGGACTTCTTCTTATTGCTTTTATGTACAATCTAATACTGGTTTATGAAAATTTATTTAGTCAAACAAAGGTTAATTGCTTCAGATTCTCCCTACTACTCTTTGTAGGCCAAGCAATGGAAGATGATATGACCCGTAACACACTGAGACCCTGTGATAGATACTATGCAAACCCAGTAATTTTTATTGCATTGATTTTAAGGGTATCCTGAGGATGTCTACAAAACCAGTGCTGGTCTCTGTTGGCAATGAGCATGCAAGGGAGGCTTGAGGTGAGGCCAGCTGGTGTCATGCATGATGTGCAGATCTGACATTCTGTGTGTGTAGAGCTGTCATGTTGGACTGGCAGCATGTGATTGCTTTCTTTATGTTCTTTCTTTATGTTCTTTCTTTCTTAGTGTACCTAAGTAATGCTATGCTTTCAGCCTGCTTAATACATCTTTACCACTTATAAAAAAAACCCCTTTCTGCTTCTTATCAAGAGGAACATTTATTGTGATTAGGACAAGGTCATGACGTGAGATAAGTTTTGTTATTTTCTTTTCCCCCTTTCATTTCTCTTGCTGCCTTTCTGTGGTGTTTATATGCTCAGTCTGTGCTTGGCTTTACATGTACTTACACATCAGTTTTTCAGCTCTGCTCCCTCTTGCCTATAAAGCAGTGCCTGCTAAGTGAATCCCCTCTTGCCTGCCTTCCCTGAGTGACTGTAGAGCTGTATCCAAACTCCTGGAAGGAGCTACGCTGCAAAAGGAACAGGGAAGGATGAAACCAGTCAGTAGGTGAGTACCAGCCAGTGCAACAATCAAGGAGCTGGTCTATGTAAATCATGTAATTGTTTTTTTTAGTATTTTTTTTTTACAAAAAAGCAGACACCATAGTAGCAGAATGGACAAATTTGTACATAAAACCTGGCTCAGTTCCAGTTACAGAGTGATTCCCTGAAGTGGTAGGGATTTCCTTCATCTCACAGTGGATTATTCTGTAATACCCCAAGTTTTATCAAATGTGAGACAAGAACCTTAAAGCTTTACTGTCAGTGAAAGATTATAAAGGTTCTGGGCAAAGGGACAAAATTTAGCAAGTGATTTGAAAGCATTTAGAAATCAGATGTTGAGGCCTGGTCTCTTACACAGTAGTTGGACAAAGATACAAAACCTGCAACTACTGAAGACTATCGTAAATGTTCTGTGATAGGATTTGAAGCGAGGTAATTTAAGGAAGAATGTGATAAAGTTTATTCCTTCCAGATCGTATGTAGCCATAGAAGAATGCCAGGAAAACTGAGGAAATTTTGTATTCAATGACATTTGTAAAAACAAACAAACAAACAAACAAACAAGACCCTTTCTCTATTTTGCGAACTTTTCATTAACAAGTATTTGTGAACACTGTGGGTTTCTGCAGATTTTTTTTTTTAACAGTGTAGATTTTGGCCATATTTAATAGTTCCACTAATGCGTTTATTTAATTTTTCATTGGTCATGGTTCTGCTACAACAAAAGAACTCTTGATTAAGCATAGTGGAAGAGGTACATAAATTAAATATCAGTGGCATTTTCCCGTGGATAAATATACTTGAAGTTTTATTTCACATAGGATAGTCCCAAATCTGCAAAGATGTAAGTCATTGGGTAATTTCTGTTGGGTAATTTTCTGTTTCCCATTGAATTCTATGATAACCTGAGAAGAAATTGACTGGGTTGTGTTCTTTTCACATCACTAAAACTCAGGAGTGGAGTGGCAGTTCCACAAAAATACAGCTTGAACATGAAAGAAACTTCCTGAAAAATCCGAAAACCAATTTATCAGAAATTAAGTATCAGATGCTGCACAAGTCCAGGTCTGTTTCAGATTCAAGAAGAGTTCGATTTTTACAGGATCATTCCAGACATGAAACTAAGCACATCCTATGAATTATTGGTTAGTTTAAGATAACATATACAATAAACCTTTATGTCTGTCCAAATATATTTAAAATCAATTAAAATAGCTGTTATTAAAAAGTTTTCAGAATGAATGGGCCTTTCTGATTTGCACTGTAGAAGAAAAAGCTATCATATTACCCAATAAAACACTTAGCAACCATAATTACTACTGATTGCCCTAACCCCTCTATTTTACTTGGCAAAAAGAAACATGGAGTGTTGTTGCACTTTCCCTTGCTCCTGAGCCTCCACAAGAATGTCTAGCTAAGATGGCTAGATGATGTTTTGGCATAGAAAGCATTGCATTTTCTCCTGCCAAATCCGGATATTTCATATATGCAGGTGAAATGTTGCTCTCACTGGATTTTGAGATATCATTCTCAGCCTCCTATCAACCACATATATTAGGGAAATGGGAAGAACTTGAGATGTCATTCTCAACATGTGCAGATATTTATTTGTGCCACAACCCCGCATATTGGTTTTCTGGCTTGCAATATGAAAGACACTACTTTAATATGACCTTTAACTTGACACTCAAAAATTGCAGCCTCTGCTTTCTTATCGATGAATCCTAAAGAGGAATTATGAAAAAGTTAAAATCTATTTCTCTCCAAGCATTCATTCAGTGCAGGAGGGATGGATAAACAACTTTCACTGATAATATGAATCACATAATATATTAGTTACAATGAATTTGTACAAAAAATAATCTAGGTATTTTTATTCTTAACTGCCATTCTTCAGTAAAATCTACTGGTTGTTATTTAAATTTCAGACACTGAATCCTTCTCCATTTCCTCCTTAAATTTTCTACGATTGTTTTGTTTTCTCCTTCATGCTTGGTGAGGCTCAGAGTGAATGCAGTATTCAGCTATTCTGACATCCAAACATTTCAAACAGTATGTCTGTGCTCAGAAAGTCTGATTTTTCAGTGAAGTGTATTTGTTCTTTTATTGATACCTTGTTTAATATTGTCCTACCATTAAAATTCAAGTTGATGAATATTCAGAAAATATTTGCACAGAAACACTTCCATTTTTATCCTGTCCTGGTGGAGGAATCCTTGCATTAAGCAAATCTATTTTCTTTCAACCCTCCTCCAGTCTGCTGAAAGTCAATGCGCTGATGATGTTGCAGGGACTGCTTTTCTTGCTGCCAGTCTGAGAAAAAGTTCATCTTCAAAAGCGTTCTCCTGTCTGCAGTTACTTTCACGTGGTGTCACCTCTCTTTCTCCCTGTGCTGAGAGAGACTTTTCAGAAAAGAGATCCATGTTGACCACTTACCAGTCTCTGGTAAATGCCCAGTGCTGAGAAGTATTCAGGCTCTGTTCAGACTGCTTGCTTGAATGTTTTGGCTGGCCTGACTTGCAGAAGGAGGTTTTTGAATGTATTTGATAATCCAGAGAGATCTTGGAGCTTGGCGTGTGGAATTTAATAGTTGCTGTTCTAAGTAAAATTGCTGCATCAAAAACCTCTTTGTGAGCAAGCATAGTTGTCTGATGAATGCTTCTTTTGTGAAAATTTTGTCATGCAATACCTGAAATAAGTTTATAGTCAAAAGGCATTTATTACAGATGTTTGTAATTGGGATCAGTACAAAAAAATATTAAATTGCCACATTTTGAATGTAAAGATTTGGAAAAACCAAGGTAAACTCCTAAATGAGGTGGATTGATATATTCCCCAAGGGAATGCCTGAATTGTGTTAGTTCCACTATGGTAACTTTTAAGTGTTATTTTTATGTGCTACTCAAAATATTTTATAAGAAGATTTTCCCCAGCATATTTCTATAGAAGCATCAGTTGTATGTAAAGTTACATGTGGGCTTCTTTTGATAAGTACTTTTGATAGGTATTTATCGTAACTATAGGGACATTTATCATAACTTTGGGACAAGATTTTTTTCCAAAAAATGGAAAAGAAACATGCCATTTTTAAATGAGAGGTGTTAAAAACCAAAGCAATTAGCTATGATAATTAGTCATCCAATTCACTTCTTTTATATACATAATTTATGTAATCTTCAAGAACAGTTTTTCTTAGATGCAGAACTGCTGTTATAAAGAAAATATTTGTCTATGACATGTAAGCTTGACAGAGAGAAGAGCTAAAAATGTCCCCCGTGTTGTGTGAAAAAACTTGTGCAATACTTGGAAAGGTGTATGCTTGCAAAACAATTGCTTCTGGTCCATGAACAGTGCAGTTCCCAGCCTGTTCCTAGGTCAGCTCATTGACTTATGCAGACCTTTGGATGGTCCTGAGCAACTTGTTTACGTAGGGAAGACGATATTGGTGGAGAAGAGGTTATAGCAAATGTCTTTGTCTCTCCGAAACTTCAATAAACCTTAAGTTCCCCAAATGTCAAAACTAAATTATATATTATTTATAACTCATAGTCTTCTTGCCTTCTTATGCCCACTTCCTTATTTTTTTTTTTTCATTTCAAGAAATGTTAAATTGCCTGACAATTATTAACTGACACTTTGGAAATATTTATACAAGAGTACCTGTGTTGCACAGTCTAGTAATGATAATCAAAAAGATGACTCTTGTACCCAGAGATGGAGAAATGTTATAGAGAAATTATACTCTTCTTGCAGAATAATGGGGTTTTACAAAAAAATAAGATATTGAAATTTATAGCAAAATTCTTATATCTGCCAAGAGGACTGAGATTTCATGAGCTTTTTAAAATTATTTTTAATAACCAACAAGAAATTTTGGAATGGTAAAAATGATAATTACTTTTATAACATTGAAACCTCAGGTAGCAATTCTAGTTGAATGAACTGCTTAAAAGAAGCTATTTTTTAACTTGATTTCAAGATTTTTGGAAGAGACTGATGCTGTGGCATTATCTGTCCCTCTGCCACTTGGACACTAATATCTTTTGAATTCCTTGGTCAAATTCAACCAAATCGGAGTTGCCTGTTAGAGTTCCAGTTTGCTTTATGTCCCTTCAAGTCATGTAAAAAATTAGGGACTGCATGGAAGAAGGAGACTCAAATTAGCACGCTGCTGAGGAAAGGATAGGCAGAAAGCAAACAATATGTTTTACTAGGCAGCAGTGAGCTAAGTCTAACTTTGGACTATCCACATTGCATTTGCTCTCTTGCCTTGCTGGGGTGGCATGATGAGAAGTGATGGTGTCAAGTAGGTTTATGGGATGAAGGGAACCATCTTTCATCAGTTCTACTACTCACAGAGGAGCTCATTTGACTGGCATTGCTATAGCTGCCTTAGCTCGAAAAGAGAAGATTTTGAAAACCAATATCATATGCTTTATTAAACTCAAGTCTCAAATAAGGCTATATATAATCATTTTAATTTCTGAGGCTTCACAAGTAATCCTACTTAAATATATAGAGAAGATTTATCATAAGATGTTAGTGCTATTTTTCTTGATTATCACTTACTGAGGCTTCAAAGTACTCACTTCAAAGTGCTTAAAAGCCAAATGTGATTTTTTTCCTTGCCACAGCATCCAGTAACCTAATAAAAGACAGATTATACTGATTTACTGTGAAGTACAAGGGATAACTGAAATATTAAGATTGGTTTTACATGTCTACCCCATAGGTTTGTGAGTTATTCCAGTACTACAGGCAATGTAGATAATTTTCTATTACAGGTACAGAAGATTCATGTTTTTTAAAAATTATATTTTGCTTTTGTATGACAAAGGGTGTGCCAGAAAGGGAGCTTTGCCTTCAAACGTGAAGCCACAGGGACTCACACTCATTTGGTATTTCTGCTAGAGGAATCCCTCTAAAGACAAAGTCACTGGAGAAGCACTGTCCTGCATGGCTTTTGGGAGGTGACCATAAGGATGCTGCATAGCAGTCTTTTGCCCTCAGAACATAATGCTGTCTTGCAGGCAATCTACAAATGACAGCTGACCACTCTGGTTATGCCTGGTGTACCAGCTGGCTGCCTTAGGCCACTCTAAACTCCTGACCATTCTTGGATGCATGCCTGGTGTCCCCCTTTCACTTCCTCTGTAGGGACATAGACTTTTCGAGGCACCCTTCAAAAGTCAATCTAGACCTGTTCTTTGGCTTGTCAGCACACTTTAGGTCACCACTGAAGCTGTGAATTTCACTGTTTGAGAAAGTTTCAGTAGCAAATCATTTTCCTTTAGGTGAGAACCTAAAGCCCGTGGAGGGTTGTGAAAGGAAAAGCAGGGTCACCTCATTGTAATGTAACCTGACAGTCAGCATGATGGGTGCTGAGTGACTTGTGTGGCTGAAAGAGTTGGGCTGATGCACTTTGAACTCACTGAAGCAAGTCAAGCATCAGTTAAAAATGGCAAAGCTGTCTTGCAATGGCCAAACCTGTAAGATATGCTTATAAAAAACCCCCCACGGCTATGTCATAATGTGTAAAAATGATAAGTTTAGTGGCATCTCTATTTGCAGTTAAAAACTATTGAGATAATCCTAAAGTCAAAACAGCAGTACAGGTAAATCAACCTTCAAGATTTTTGTTCTCAGCTTCACGTTTTCCCCCTTGTTAGGGTTTAGTTCCATCTTGGCAAAGTGCTGGAGCAGCTGTGCTATAGGATTAATTGTGCTACCCCTAAAAGATGCTCTGAATTCCACCAGCATTTCCAGATAGCTGTTCAGCGAGGATGGGAGGAAGAGTGGATCTGCAAGGATGTGAATAGAAATGACAGCAGAAACCTATGGGACCAGTCTGCAGTTCATGTTTGGATACTCTTCTGAGTAATGACTCTCTGTGAAGGAGGAAAGGAAGATAGGGCACAACAGAGCTGATAGATCACTAAATTGACTAGTTGGTATGACAGCTGCTTATGGTGCCTGGCAGATCTGTATGTACCAGCAATGGGCTAGTCGTGGAGTATATACTTCACTATATATTACAATTTTGAATACCTCTGTGAGATATTATTTTTGTTATTTCTTTTATGGACCTCTTGCATCTCAATGGCCCTGGAAAAATAAAAAGTCTTCTCCACTCGCAATGGGAGGAATGGGTGAATGATGAAGACACCATGCAGTTCAGACCATTTTTCCAAAGAAAATGATGCATAGACAAGTTAAGTAATCTCTAATGCAGGTATCTGTGGCAACATTTGGAATGAAGCTCAGGTATGAGTCACTATCATTGCTAGGTATTATATACAGCACATTTACAGGTCCACTGTATGATGTTACTTATGAAGTGTAACGGATAGAAATTTCGCGGTGTTTAATATTTGATCACTGGTGGTTTGGAAGGCCATGGTAAGTTTTCTGGAGCACATCTGCTGAACTGCATGGACATACAATGTTTATTAACTAACCTGTGCTGTATGGTAGATGTTGTAGTCTACCATCAGCATTTTGTCCTGCAATGTTTCTTGCTGTGTGACCTCACATGACCACTAACTCTCCAGCATGTGACAAGTCCCACATGGATGATCCACAAGATTCCAGGAGTGGTTCAGTGCTCCAGAGAAGTTTGGGAACTTTGATTTATCCCATAGATAGAAGAGGATTATCAAAGTTTTCTACTGTTTTACTCTCCTGTTAGTTGCTGATGATGTTTGTGAAAGAATAGGATCACTGTCTTTTCTGTGCGATCAAATGCTTCTGCAGCCGGAGACAACGCTAAAGGGAGGAGAAGAATGAAACAACAGTCCCTTTTTTTTTCTTTTCCTTTTTATTAGCAATGTATCTTTATTCTAAATGCATTTTTGAACTTCATAAAGAAAGCTGGGATTAGATCTGTGAAAAAATTCCACGACTTTCTTCCTTTTTCTGCGAAGTTAAGGTTGTATCCATATTCAGAAGAGCGCAAAACTTGAGGGATTAGTTATATCTCATGGTATTATTTCCTAGTTTTATGATACTTTCTTCCCCTTGGTGATATTGAGAAATTTGTATTAAACTTACGGAAATAATAAGTGTTTCGTTGTATATTTAATGGACAAGACATGTTAATCCTTGATATGTAGTAACATGTTTCCTTCTTTCTAATCAACAAGTTTGTATTGCCTTGTCCTGCCATGTGGAGTGAATAATATGATGTCAACCATGGAAAAACAAAATATACTCACTTCTAGGTGTTTGTAAATCTTCAAAACCAAGGGTACTGTAACAATAAGGCAAATAACCTAAAACTTGTGGACCAAAACACTACTTCAGATGGTTTTCTCCTGCAAAGTCCTTTTCCTCTCATACTTTCTGTACTATACCAAGGGCGAGTCAGCAATATGGATTCTGCTTGTGTCAGCTAACAGGAGGGAATGTAAGGGACTGGACATGAGAATGTTTGTTGCTAGTTGTCTTGAGCTATTGCTCTGAAACTGCCTGTCTGGCAGGAGCAGCAGCCTTAAAATGCAGGAGACAGCTTTCACAGAATCACAGAATAGTTGATGTTGGAAAGAGCCAGTGGAGATTATCTGGTTCAACAACCCTGCTCAAAGCATGGTCACCTATAGCAGGTTGCTCGAAACTGTGTCTAGTCAGGTTTTGAATATTTCCAAGGGTTTAGTTTCCCCAACTGACCTGGGCAATATGTTCCAGTGTTCTATCACCCTTGGAGTATAAAAGCTTTTTCATATGTTTAAAATGAATTTCCTGAATTTTAGTCTGTATTCCTTTCCTCTTGGCATCACTGATGAGAGTTTGGCTCTGTCTTCTTTACTGCCTCCCATCAGGCATTTATACACATTGCTAAGATGTGCCTCCTATCCCCCCAGCCTTTTATTCTACAGGTAAAACCAATTACTCCTCTCCCAGCCTGACTTCTTATGTCAGATGCTCCAAATTCTTAACCATGTTCATGGTCCTTTGTTGGACTTAATCCAATGTCTCCATGCCTGTCTTACACAGCACTCCAGATCTGGTCTCATCAGAGCTGAGCAGTGCAGAATAATCACCTCCATCAACCTGCTGGAGGTGCTCTTTCTAATGCAGCAGGGTGGTGCTGGCTGCCTTTTCTGCAATAAGCAATGAAACTGCATTAGGAGTAGTTGCAAATGGGAAAAAGCACAGTGCATTCAAATGATTTGTCTTTTGAAAACATATAATCATTTATGCTCATATAGATAACACAGATTTTCCAGAAACACTAGCAGATTCCTGATTCCCTGACATAGCAAGGTGTGCTGTACATAACTAATTACTCAGATTTAAAAAAAAGTGCAATGATGTTTATAATCACCTTTCTTCAATGGTCAAAAGAGTTTCAGAGATGCAGGAGATATTTAATTTGATCAGTCTTGAATATTTGGAACTATTGAAGCATAACTCCACAAAAATATAATCTCCACTATTAATTTAAGACAAATGTGTTAACTGTGCAGTTGAAGGGATCTTGAAAAATTTCCTCAATATTAGAACTTAGCTTTCTATAGGAGGTGAAGATTGCTTAATTGCATTTTCTAACTTCTTTTAAGATGATGAGGATAGGAGTGATAATTTTAATGACTGAATAACTACTTAAAACATTTTTTTTAATGACACACTTAAAAATCTTAACAACCTGCTCTTCTGTATGCTGGAATTAATGATGTCATGGTTTCTCTGAAAGGTAAGCTAGTTAAATAATTGACAACTGATTCATGCATCACAGTCTAATTCTTAAAAACACTTCATATCAAAGCAGAAAAAACACCAAGCATTTCATTCACCTTTCAAATACCTGAATTTGTATTAAAGCCACAACAAACAAAACGAAATTTAAACTGAGCTGGTTGCTTCCTCTGGAAAAAGTGTTGGCCTTTCAGGAATTCACAAATGTTTGAGGCAGACTGAACTTCCAAGTCTGGATGAGGAACCTTTTCCTGAGGAATTTTGTGGAAGGTGAGCATGCCAATAATACACCTGCAGCACGAGAGTTGTGTAAAGAAATTGTCCATGGGTCTATCCTTAAGCTCTCATTCTCTCTATTTTTCTAAATTCCTTGACTTTAATATACCCTCTGCTGACTTGGTGCACACTCTGGGAATATTTTTCTTTTGAAAACAGATGGTATGGAAATTTTTCAATATAGGTTCTGTTAAACCCAAGCTACATATTAATGTTAATTTCAGTTGAACATGTAAAAAGACATGCAAATTGATTTTATAAAATACCTTAAGAACTGGTATTTTAAAAAGATATTCATTATTGTATTTATATCAATACATTTAATATGATAGGGTAACAGTGAAGGCAACAGGAATACTGAATGAGAGAAAATTGGATGAGAAATAGTATTTCCCTTTTCTATTATATTTTCAGTCATGAAAGATGATGAGCCAACTTCCGAGGCAATTAAAAGCTGCGTTGTCAAGAATATGGCATCCCATATGGATCTCTGGTAACTATACTGCAGGTCCGCCCTTTAATCACAACAAAACTCATCTTTTTAAGCTCCACCTAATAAATAGGTGCCCATATTAAGTGACAGTAGTTTCAACTTGCACAGCTTTCAGCCCTGAAGCTTGTTATATTACATTTTTGCTCTTTATAAAGCTTCTACTCATAAACAAATTGCATTTGTTTGTTCAGGTCCTGTCTTTTTCATATTGACAAGTAATAATATGCAAAGGCTTCATTTGGGTGGGTGGGGAGAACAACTGAAAATATCTAGGTCATTTAATAAACTTGATAGGTTATATTTTCTAATTGTTTCTTCTTTGGTTTATTTTGGGGGGATTTTTTTTTGTAATCAACTTCTAGGGCTATGGTACTTAAAGCCAACTTCTTTATTCCAATTAAGGCCTAGTCACTTTTGTCTAGACTGCAATAATGATGTTGGTTGTTTTTCTGTAATAACCCTACTGATACTCCCCAAAATAGCACTGGTCCTTTTTTTCAAATAGCTGATGTTTGCTGACTGTACAAATAGTGGGCTATCATCCATTGCATGTAGTCTGCTTTTTGCCATAATGGGAAATTGCATTAAAGGCAAAAATCATCTCGAAAGTAAAGCAAAGGCTTTAGAAGTAAAGACGTTTTTCAGTCCTATTTGGGGAAACTGTCATTCAGCTTCTGCATCTCAGGGTTGTGTTGGTCTAGGGTGTGATGGCTCCTGTTCTCTTAGTCCCCGAAGTAGAATATGAACATCCACAAAGTTTTCATCAAATAGTAGCAGCAATGACGGCAGTTTTATACCGGAATAAAGGAAGAAGAGGACCTCTGTGCTAGGTGCTTAGATGAATACTTGACCTTATACTACCTGCTGCAATCAGGGCAATGCCAGCCAGCCAGACTCCTGTCCTGTAGGAACAACAATCTCTGAATTTCCCCAAAGAATGATGTGACTCTGCACTATCTGTAATGACAGTCATTGTGTTAACTGCACAAAAATCTTTTGCAGATGCATCTTGGGCTGGGAGAGAGACTCATCTTTTGTTTACCTGTTGTTGGCGTTTTTTTCCTCCATTAGTATTCATGAGCTAATAAAGCAAAAGACCACAATATACATGTATTTTGTTTTGCAGTACTTGTTACAGATAAGGAATCCACACAAAATCACATGAAAGGAAGAAAGGGACATGACCTGCTTTGAATGTGTGCTTCCCACACAACAGAAAACCACAAATATGTGCAATTGATGAGCAGCTAAATCAAGTGCTCTGTTGGTGACCGTATTAGCTTCACAAAAGGTGCTCTGCTTGACTGGTATTCAAGAACTTGTGCTGTAAGATCCATTAGAAGGCTGAATTCGTTTCAGACTTCCCAGGGAACTTGGGACAGTAATCCTACAAACACAATCCTACAAAGGAGATACCAGGCCAAGGGAATGGGACTGTCATGAGAGATTGAACATAAGCACATAGACTATCGCCTTGAATTGACCTCAGCTGGCTGGTGGGCACATCCGGCAGGGTGACAGGAGACCAGTATGCTCTTCCTGACTCTGCCAAGGATTTTCTGGTGTTTCCCAGCAAATCACTTTATCTTTCCT